GTTAGTGCTAGAATGGAAATCTTCACAACTCAAATAACAGTATAAGCAGAAAAATAAAGAACACCAGGAATTAACGTGGTTCGGCAATGCCTACGTCCACGGGGCAGCAATATAAATTTCTTCCACTATAACAAAATAATGGGTACAACAAGAAAGATCTTACCAAGCCAATGTCCAGGGCTTGATGATGCACACAGAGAAAGTACAATGACACCACACTATACTCTCCTGTTTTTACCTCACTCACACACTTAGAGTGGATTACAATTAACTCTCTCACTCTCACAGAATTGGAGTGGAATACTGATAGCTGTTTGAATGGTGTTCTCTCACTTCTCTTCCTCTCGGCTTCTCCAACTCTCTCTGGTTCTTCAGCCCACTAGTGCAGCACACAGGACTCACTTTTTCTAAACTCCCTTACAATCACCCGCATGCACACTTGCATGTCCTTTTATATTTGAGAAAGGAAAAACCTGGAAGCCTTTAGCTCTTTCTTCCAACGGATGGCAGCACCAATTGCTAGAGACATCATCATTTGCTAAAGACATCATCATTAGCTAAAGATATCATCATATCATGTTGGTTTCATCATTGTGTTGGTTATTCTCTTTTGACCACCGAAAGAATAGTTTTCCATCATGGGCTGGACCCATGGTAATATACCAACACGATTTAGTGGCGTCGCTAGCAATGGCAAGGATGAGCAATGAAGTTTGGGTCCACAGACCCCATCCTCGCTAACTCATGTTCTGAACAAGGATGGGCTACCTTGTCCCCCCCAAGTGTAATCTGTTCTTCCCAAGCTAGTTAGAGTTGACAATGGATTTTGTCCTTGTCTGTTGTTTCTTTCCTCTTTTAGCTTACTCATGTGTATGTACTGGCATCTCTTTGTCTGCTAGTGTTGCTTACTCATGTGTATGTACTGGCATCTCTTTCTCTGCTAGTGTTTGTTGGGGCACCATCCAGTTCCCTTTGTGGATTTGGCCCTCTGTTGATGTTGTTCTGTTTGCGGTTTCTCCGCCGATTATGAAGGCATCTTTTCGTCCAAAAAAAAAAAAATCACCCCGACTGTCATTACCATACACATTCATTAAAACAAACAGAAACAATTGGTGTGATGCCGCTAAATAGAAGTTTATGTGAAACATAAACAATACAAGAACAATCACAAAATGAGATCTTTGAAGTCCTGAAAGATCAACCGGGCCCAAAAGATTTAAAACAAATAGAAGAAGAAAAGAAGAAAAAGATAGCAATAAAAATATCAAACAGACTCAAATACCTTGCGCTGCTCCATAGAGCTTCCAAAGTATCCTCTCCAAAGGATAAGGAAGAGTAAGCAGCTGCAATCTCTACGGCTTTCAACTTTGGAGAACTTCCTGAAACCTAAAAAGCAACATTTAAACATACAATTCTTTCAGACAACTATCATTCCTGTAATAAAAAATAAAAAAATAAAAGAATTGTTTCGGACAACTAACACAAAAAGGTTCTAGCTTGGAACTCACTGTTGTGGGATCATCAGGTTGCACAAGTAGAATTCCAGCACTTCTATCAGCACAATTGTGATTGCTCTCTTGAACAACCGAGCGTAAAACTTTCATGCAAGCAGAGGCAGGACCTGCCTGTGAACTAAGCAATGGATATGAAAGTCAAGTTTACATACTGGGCTTCATCTGGACAAGAATAAATATGGTATATAAACTAAAAAACTCATAGGAGTAGTAGATCATCCCAACTGATGTTCTACAGTGCTAATTATACCTTTCTTTTATAAGGTGCTAATTATGAGTTTGAAAAATCATGACCACTCCAACTTTGGCAGGTCCAATACGCAATAAAGCTGGCTTCTTGGTGTGTGTGAGTGTGTGTGTCCGAGAAAGAGACAGAGAAGCTATCTTCAAGTCAAGGAAAATTTTAAAAAATAAGTTATATAGTAATACGACAAACATACAGTGACAAAGAGACGCAGCACTCCCCAGCTGCAAATCCTTTCATTAGATATTCTCCAGCACCACTTACACAACAGCCAACTATACATGGCGCCCCAGAAAAACCTTTGGAGCATGCTTTGCTGCTAATCCCACTCGCCCACCAACCTGAATTATTATTATATTTTTTTAAAACAAAAAACCTGTTAGATTATTAGTCACTACAAACAGACGACAAACAAACGAGTGCAAATTATTAGAAGCATCTGTCACCTTCAGTGCAATACCTCCACTTGAGGCACCAGAAGCTATTTGTCCTTCAGTGTCCACACAAATAACTCCAACAGTGTCCATGACGCAATCCTCTTCAGCCCCATCACTCTTCAAAGAATCACAAGGTTGAGCTTCTAATTCTAAAACATAGATACATACAACGATCGCTTATAGAGAAGTATAATCCTTTAGTTCTTTTTCTTAATAAGGTCATACAAACTACATAATAAAATTAAGCAAGAGGCTAGTCTGCAGACTAGAAGAACCAAAACATCCTTATAAAAGGAGCAGATCATCAATATATATTTTCTGGAGAAGATAATAAATCAACAGTTTTGTTGCTATGTCAACAGAGTATCAGATTATTTAAAAGGAAAAAAAACTAAGAAGAAAATTAAAGGCATAAACAGAACAGATTTTGATATGAAGTGTAAGTGTGTCATGCAGCAACATACTTTTCCAAATTTATAGAGAGGTATAGTTCAAAATTTGGCTTTGGCACTGTGATTTAAAACATATCCCTCAAATATTATGACGTGCCTCTTTAGCGCATGTTAAGGAAAGAATAGACACAAAGATTACTGTACAGTATGGAGGAAGGTAAACAGAATGAAAGTGTCATTGCCAGGACACGTATACGGTAAGTTGCACTATAAAAAATATCAGCTTTGAAGGACAGAATTGATTTGTTTTATATCAAAAGGTGATGAAATACCTTACATTCCAGCAGTCTCTTGAGGACTACAAGAAAGTCCAAAAGCAGAAATATCTGTCTTTAATTTTGCATCATCTGCCATTGCTTTGTACTTTTTCCATTGTGCTTTTGCCCTTTCTGTCACCAGCCACTGTTTTGAATATACACACAATTAATTCATCCCTTCTAAAAAATAAATTTGCAGCTGAAACATCAGAGCCATTAAAATTCCCAAGTTTGAACATAAGCATACAAAAAATAAAGATTAGTGATTGAGATGAGTATTATATATAAAAACTAAAACAAATTACCTCATCAGCAGCTGGTGTGCTTGCTGTAAATGCAATGCCCTTGGACTTTGCCCATATGCGGGCACCTTCACCAACCAGGAAGCTACAAAACAAAAAATCTGCTCCATTATTAAATTAAGTAAAAGAAAACAAGAGAAAAGAAAAGAAGAACCGAGGATCAGGAAAAAAAGTCCATTACGGTTTACAAATGACAAAATAACAGAAAGAAAATACTGCTGAGTTAAACACAATGATTAGAATGAAAGCTATAATTGTCTGATTAAGAGAAATGAATTAGTACATTGGAGGTATTCGGCCCAACAGAGAGGATCCCATCATTTGCTCCTTGGCCAATAAAGCAGCAACCTGGATGGGGTTTCTGACACCTGGTCTACAATGCAAGGGATATTAAGTAACATAAGGGAAAATGTATAGCATATTTGAATAATATATGTACCTGGAATTGCTCCAACAGCTCCAAAAACTCCAGAACTTCCATCCATAATTCTGGCATCGCATTCTACATGACAGTCTTCTGTTAAATTGGATCCTCTACCCGCACTCGCACTTGGGTCATCCTTTAGGCATCAAAACCGAGTTAATAAACAATACATGATATGATACGCATCAAATATTGCTCTCAAAGAAAAGAAAGAGGCTTCTGTCAACAACCTCTCCACAATTCCACATAAAGAATGAGAAGCAAAATATCTAATCTTCATTGGAACTTGAATCTTCCTCTTAAGTTGTTCTGCAAGCATGTTGGTGCTTTTAAAGCACATGTTCTATAGCTACTTGTACTTAATTGGACTAAAGCTCTCTTCAAATTTTAAACAGTTCCAAAAGTACACTTCAAAGCAACAAAGTTAACCCTCATTTCTATACAAAACATGAGGCTAAAACTCATCCATAAACTCTTTCCACATACACACAGTCATATCATACTAACGCTTTGTTATACTGATCACCAAAGTATGAATTTCTCCTTCCTAAGATGCACTATTCTAAGAATATGTTAATAAAAGCATCAATAAAAGGAATTTAAAAATAAATAAATAAACAAGAAACAAAAAAGAAAAACAAAAAAAAGATATCTACGACTAGAAAGAGAAAATATATCTCCAAGACTTGAATAGCAGCCGTAACAGCATCTATGCATCTACCAGAACCCTTAAGCAAAAGAAACAAAAACATTATAGTGTTAAGTTTTTATTTAAATATTTGCAACCATCATCACTTGGTCCACATCAAATTGTAAAAATGACATTACCAATGTTTTCAAGTTTCAATCTTTCCTTGTCTCAGATTTTCTAGGGAACCAAACAGGAGCTGGAAATAGTATAAATTAAATATGCGCACGAAAGAGAGAGAGAGACCTTGCGGAGAAGTGAAGCGGCGGCGAGACAAGCGCATTTGATGGCGGACCTGAGGGCTTTCTCGTTGGAAGGCGCGTGATATCCTGCGCCGACGTGAACCGCTACGAAGAAGGTGGCGTTTTCATCTTCTTCTTGCATTTGGTTAGCGGCAGCCATGGATTGTTTTGATGGAACTAAACACAGCGTTTTGTGTCTAAACTGATTCAGTGCTCTTCTTACTTCCAGTTTAAGGCACAATTACTATAACACTTTCCATTTTTAAGGTTTTTTTAATTATTTATTTTTATAATGAGCATTCTTTCTTGGGAAATAGCGGTATATAACCCCAATTTTATAATCTTAACTAAAAATACCACCCACCCCCAATATTTGTACAACTATCACCTATAAATATAAAATTATTGTCCACTTATTGCTGAATTTTCACAAGTTCAGAAATTTTGTTCTCTCTTGGCTCTATCTCTCTCTTCAGCCCGTCTCTCTCTCTCGCTCAGCTCTCTCCATCGTGTAACTCTCTCTCTCTCCAACGCAGTCATCTTCCTCCCTCAGCAATCCAAGCTTAACTCCACAGTTCACATCCACGAGGTACTGTTCACGTTCCTTTTCTTAGAAATTTGGGGTTTTTGTGAATTTGGTGTATGGTGTATGGATTTGTATGAAATTGGTTTAGGGGTTTCTTCCAAATTGATTTAGGGTTTTAGGGTTTAGAGGTTGCTTTGAAAGTGGTTTAGGGTTTATGGGTTTGTATGAAATTGGTTTAGGGGTTTCTCTAGAGTCTAGGGTTTGGAATTGATGAGATATCTGATCTAGGCTTCAAATTACCCTAATTTGTTTTTCTTTATTGTGATTGTGATTTTAGGTAAGGATTGGGTGATGGGTTTTTATTTTGGGTCATCTGATATGGTTTTGAGATTGGTTTCATATCTATGATTTCGGTTAGTGTTAAAGTAAATAAATGGGTATTTCAAACTTTTGTGAATGGTCGTCTGCATTGGAATTGTAATTAATCAAGCCTTCTGTTTGATGTACTCATTACAGGTAGGAAGGCGAATTGAGTCAGTGGTAGTCTCACTGGAGCAGCTCAAGTCCTTTGATTTTACTGATCAACAAGAATACGATGCCTGCAAAATGAAATAAAGGAGCTTTTCTGGTCATGAACTTTACTTTTGGACACACACATGCACAATGAACTTTACTGTCTTTGATGGCATTTTGTGTTATTTGTTTGATAGGAAGGTGATGTTGCTGTTGCCGTCGCTGACAGACTACTTTTCCTGGGTTGTGGTTGGTGGGTGTTATTGCGGATGCTTACAAGGTTGCTGAGTCTCCTTCTAAGGTCTCTCTTTCTCTCTGTTTCTACAAATTCTAAGTTTTTTTTTTTGGTTACTTTTTTTTAGATTTCTTTTGCTAATTGTAATTGGGTCTTTGTTGCAGAGGTAGAGTTGTTTTGTGCCCAGAAGATTGTGACTTTTTTGAAAGTTCGTAAATGGAAAAGGCAGCTGCCCCTGCGGCTTGGAACCCTCAATTCGGAGGTATTATGCCCTGAATTTTTTACAAAAGAAGAATTGGAATTACCCTATAGAAGGCAAAACAAAAATATATAAGAGGAAAAAAGGAGAAAATTTATCTAATTTCCCTTTTTTCAGTTGTAGTTTTTTTTTTCTCGGTCATTTTGTTTTTTTTTTTGGGGTTCAGGATGCAGGGTCGATCCAGTTGATTTACATTGATGTAGTTCCAATATGTAAAGATGGAGTTTATATATATATACATGATATAGAGTAAATTTCAGACCTTGTTAATGGTATTAGCCTGTTAGGCTTGTGGGAGATTCATTTTGTTTTCTTTCATTTTCTATAAATGATTTACAACGTTGGACAGACTTCCCTACATCATTTTTGTTGTTGGGGGGTTGGGGGGGGGGGGCGCTCTATTTCGTTACAGGGTTTATTGACTGCATGCTTCCTTGTTCTGGAAGACCTCCTCAGTTCCGTTGAGCCGACAAACCTTATGAGGTTGAATGTGAAGTGTTACCTTGCATCTGCATGTTTCATCTTTTAACTTTCTTTTCATGTTTCACGCTGATGCTTGTAGTTATTTCTAGTTTTGCATACAGATTAGCAAATAGGTTATGCATTTACTAGTCATCTAATGATTTGATATCTAATATTTAGGCATAGATATGAAACCAATCTCAAAACCATATCAGATGACCCAAAATAAAAACCCATCACCCAATCCTTACCTAAAATCACAATCACAAATAAAAGGGTAATTTGAAGCCTAGATCAGATATCTCATCAATTCCAAACCCTAGACTCTAGAGAAACCCCTAAACCAATTTCATACAAACCCATAAACCCTAAACCAATTTCAAAGCAACCTCTAAACCCTAAAACCCTAAACCAATTTGGAAGAAACCCCTAAACCAATTTCATACAAATCCATACACCATAAACCAAATTCACAAAAACCCCAAATTTCTAAGAAAAAGAACGTGAATAGTACCTCGTGGATGTGAACTGTGGAGTTAAGCTTGGATGGCTGAGGGAGGAAGATGACTGCGTCGGAGAGAGAGAGAGTTACACGATGGAGAGAGCTGAGCGAGAAAGAGAGACGGGCTGAAGAGAGAGACAGAGCCAAGAGAGAACAAAATTTCTGAACTTGTGAAAATTCAGCAATAAGTGGACAATAATTTTATATTTATAGGTGATAGTTGTACAAATATTGGGGGGTGGGTGGTATTTTTAGTTAAGATTATAAAATTGGGGGTATATACCGCCATTTCCCTTCTTTCTTATGGTTCATTTCATTTTGTGCAACTGTTTATTTGTTTTTCTTTTGAAATATTTTCCCATGTCATAGAAATTTATTATTTTTAACAGAAAATGAAGCATTTGCTTGACTTATAATGAGATGATTCTTGGCACCATTTCTTTTTTTTATATTTTTATATCCAAATTAGACAATCATGGAGGCTAAAAAATGTCTAATATTAAGAACTTGAGTTAGCTCAATGGGTGAGTGGAAAAATGGGTTAAGTTTAGAATAGGTTCCAGGGCCTTTGGTGTGCTCCAAGTGATCTTAGATTCAAGCCCCCATGATATCCGTGTGTAAAATTCCACCCTCCCCTTCCTACCTTTACCCCAAAAAAAAACTTTAAAAAGTGTGTAATAATAACAATCTTGGATTTTCTCTTGATTTATGGTCTTATTTGTATGTTGATTAATTGGTATTGTGCAATTTAAAATTTTGAATGTGGTTGGATTGGAGAGAATTGAATTATAGCTCTTTGATATGAGGATGATGATTAGTTTAATAACCTTATGCTGCACCAACCATCCAACTGCACATACCTTTCTTCAGTATAGGGCAAGTGTAGCAGAAGCAAAGTGCAAAAGTGAATAATCCTTTCCAAGATAGATTTAAATATATAGGAACCAGTGGTACAAAAAATACAAGGCAAAAAATGCAATTTCTGAACCAATATGTTTGCGTCTAATAATAATATTACACATTTCAGATTTCTGCTTAACATTTATTCTCAAATACAGAATTACAAATGGCATATAACTTATTCTTGTTTGGAAAATGGCATATAATACAAAACCGAAAAGTTGGAACGAAGAGGGCTTTGCACTGCTTGATTGTATCTTCAGGGCTGGTGGTAACTGCAAAAAGTGTAGAGCATCAGATAAATGTTGGAATGAATAGATAAAGGACTGATCCAGTAATCATCAAGCATAAATGAATATCAACTATTACTTACATCAAAGCTTATCTGTCCTCCTATGGAAAATGTCAGGTTCAGGTGAGCAAACTTCTCGCGAAGGACGGATACCATTCTCGGGCGTATGTTCTGAACCTGCAGACCAAATATCATCTTTCAAGTTATATACAAATGAAAAAGAAAATCCATATCATTTAGAATGAACATAAACTCACAATTTTAGTTTTTTAGTTAAGTATCAAACCTTGTCATATCTTTCAAATTCATCCCTTTCTTCTTGGCTACAGTTTTGCCCAATTGGTGATACATTAAGCATCCCACTTCGGAACTCTATAAATGTACCCCTACAGTTACAATTGACAATGAAAGTAAAAGTTAACTATAGATGGCTTAAGAATTAACAAGGCTTCCACTCCATTTCTTTATCGGTATGTCCAAGTCTGCGATATAATGAAGTGTAAAATTCATAAATTCCCGCAGAATTGTATACAAATCATCGCAAATCAATCTCAAGAACAATTTGATTAAGTTTCCAGGTTCTTTGTACATGCTGTGTTTGACACCTTAGGTATCTTTCAAATAAGGAACTTGAGAGTCATAGCATACAACAGATCATGGGTTTTACCTTCAGATTCTCTTCTCCAAGAAATGTCCTCAAGCTCTACAGAATGCAAAACGCAAAATCAATTTGGAGTCATTACCAAGTAAAGAAACAAAGAAAAATATGCAGGAGAAAAGGAAAAGGAATGCAACACTGTCATGGATCCTATCAGAAACAAATAATGGTTACTCCATCAGAGCATACTTTTGGCCATTTGATGCTAAGAAAATCAACTTCACACAATGGATTCATAAGGATCCATGACAGTGTACGAGTGTGTTAACTTCACAAAATCAATTTCAAAAACATCACTTTAATGAGGACACTGTATGCTAAGCATGTGTCCACAATATCCCTCAGGAACCAACACTCAAGGATATCTAAGAGTTGAAGGAAAACGGAACAAGGCACCAGCCTTTAGCATATGCTTCACTAAGACAATTTGAAGGCCAACAATACATGCAACCAAACCATTTGAATAGCTGAGCTTAGATTTTTTTTTTCTTTGACAGAAAGCTGAAACCTTCAAACTCCTTGGTTGTCAAGATCTAACATAAACAAATTGATTTTGAGAGGTGTATATATGCATACATAATAAGTAAATATCTAAACTTGAGCTCCAACAACTGCATGAATTGATGTAGCATATGCAAAATTAAATGTCCAATACATTTGGAGTTATATTTTCTATAAGAAAAAAGTACACACCTGTCTTCCCAAGCTACTCTGTTATCTTAGAAAGGTCAGACGCTCCCACAATGGCCACTGTAACAACCTGCAGTCAACAAGGCTTTTGATCATGCACAAAAACTAACAGACTCCCACCCATCTCCAAAATGGAAAAAACAGAGCATACACTTTAATGGTAATGGGTGATGTACCTTCCTAAGTTCTATCATGAACCCCAACATTTCTGGGGTAACCATCTAGTATTCAAGTGAAAGGTATTGAATTAGTGATGTTTTCAAGAACAGATATGCATGCATAAACTGATTCAGAAATGCAGAAATTTTGTCTTTCAAATTGATCAACCCATGTAATAAATTGGTTAATAAGATGATAATTAAAATTAAAAAAAAACAACCCATGCAATTCAAGGCCCTTTTCCACTAGACTAGACCCTATTGACAACCAAGTTAAATAATAACTATATAAGAATATTGAATTTGAAGTTTGATGGACCTTTGGGATGCTGAGTTTTAAGATGGCTTTATACGCTAGAAAATGAAAAAAAAAATATACATATGTAGCAAGTTGTGAATTTTTTAAGTTGTAATGACTAACAATATTGAAAAAATGCAAAAAGAAAGAGAATTGGACTTAGGCCCATATCGAACCAAGCTGTCTTAAATTGGTTTCATTTGATTCGTTTTCCTTCGATCGTGATTTTTGTAAAATCAAGACTAAACCAATTGTACTTAGTTCGGCCTCAGTTTCAGACCCCCAAACAGAAACCATACAATTTTCTAAAAGTGTACACATGGTTGGTCCAGTACAGGACTACTTTCCAAAGATCGTAGAACAATTTATAACTTAGAGAAAAAGGAAGATTTGAAAACCAAATAGTTTGGTTAAGTAGTAAACTGTCTCAATTGAACCAATGCATCCACTGCTAAGTTAACTTCTCTGAAATTATGCTGAACTTGTTGAACTGTTATTGCACTATTACTATGTTAGTCATCATGCGTTATATTACATTATGGTAAACATATCATCTATGTCATTGTGATTGAATAAATAATACAATGCTAACTAGAGTATGATATTCTTTGACCAAAAAAAAAAAAAAAAGGGTTATTTACTCAAATGGTCCACAAACTTATAATCGATTTATATTTTGGCCTCTTAATTAAATTATTCGTTCAAATGGTCCATCAACTCTATATTATTCGGCAAATTGGTCCCATGGTTTAATTTTTTGTTAGATTTAACCAAATTTTAGGGTCAATATGACTTTTCATAATTAACAAATAAAAATAAAGTTAAAATAAATACAAAATTAGAAAAAAATTGAAGAAAAAGAGAAAAAAAATCATGACACCCAAACCCAGCACCCAAATATGACTTTTCATAAACCGGAGCTAATGTCCCAGATATCAAATGAGAGTTTTCCCGATACCACGGAGATTTATGAGCTGATGTTGAAGGTTTTGACAGTTGGGATTCCCACCATTTGTATTGTAGGCCAAGAGGATCTGTGCCCCAGCCATTTTAGTGGAGGTGGGGTTGATGCCCGATGGACACGCTACTCAACCGTCAGATTGAGAGAGAGAGAGAGAGAGAGAGAGAGAGAGAGAGAGAGAGAGATGGATGAAATGACCAATTTACCCTCATATTTAATGGAAATATTGACATAATGTAGCGGTAGGACCAATGGACCGAATAATATAGAGTTGATGGACCATTTGAACAAATAATTTAATTGAGGGACCAAAATGTAAATCGGATATAAGTTTGAGGACTGTTTGAGTAACCCACAAAAAAAATAGAATATGGTATTCATCCATCTTGTTCTAAACAAATTAAGTACCTATTTCGATTCGTTTTTCATTATTGAAAGAGGAGATACCAAGTAGAATCATCGACCCGTCCCCCATACAAAAACAAAAAACCAATTCCAACAAAAGAACTGTTAACAGAGCTTAAGAAAATAGAATAAAGGAGAATTTGATAAAAGATTGTATTGTATTATTATTAGCTTTTTCAGATTGTTCATTTCTATACATGGTTCCAGTATATAAGAGAGAGCTTATATCTCTTTCTATGGCCTAGATTATGACACTTGTCAACATCTACACATTAAACCCTTTATACTATAACATCCCCCCTCAAGATCGTGGTTGGTGAAACCAAGCATGATATTGCAGCAAGGCGAGGTGATGTGTAAGATCCCACATCGACCAACGAAGAGGGGGTGATATTCCTTATATGAACATGCCCGCATCCATCTAGCATGAGGCCTTTTGGGAGCTCACTGGCTTCAGAGTCATGGGAACTCCGAAGTTAAGCGAGTTGGGGGCTAGAACAATCCCAAGATGGGTGACCCACTGGGAAGTTGCTCATGAGCTCCCAGAAACAAAACCGTGAGGGCAGAGAAGGGGGCCCAAAGCGGACAATATCGTGCTACGGCGGAGCCGATCCCGGGATGTGACAATTTGGTATCAGAGCCACTCTACCGTGTGGTGCGAGTGTGCCGACGAGGGTGTCTGGCCCTTAAGGGGGGTGGATCGTAAGATCCCACATCGACCAACGAAAAGGGGGTGATGTTCCTTATATGTACATGCCCGCATCCATCTAGCATAAGGCATTTTGGGAGCTCACTGGCTTCGGAGTCATGGGAACTCCGAAGTTAAGCGAGTTGGGGGCTAGAGCAATCCCAGGATGGGTGACCCACTGGGAAGTTGCTCGTGAGCTCTCAGAAACAAAACCGTGAGGGCAGATAGGGGGGCCCAAAGCAGACAATATCATGCTACGGCGGAGCCGATCCCGGGATGTGACATGATGCGCAGGTCTATGACAGAACGAAGAAAGAATGAGAACGACTATGCCATTGATCCCAAAATTATCAAGGAGTTTGAACAAACCAAATCAACAGGTAGACTTCATAGGAATGCTAAATACTGCAATCGAGAGGCAAAACTCATGCTGTAGGGGAGGCATGACAGCATCTGCAAGCGCTGCTATATCATCTGAACCTCCATAGCAAGCACGACCAAAATATTCAATAATTATTTCTTCAGCAAGCAATTGACAGTGAAACTCCTTGAATGAGAGCATACTTTCTTGACATCGCATAACACATCTAAAAGTGTTGTATTCTGAAGGTAAACCATTGAGAGACACCCCATCAAACTTCGGCAACTGAGTAACAGGTAATATCAAAGGCATAATACTGCTCCATCAACTCTTCCAGTCCACAAATTTTGCAACCATATTGACCACAAATGATTAACTGTGTGCCTATGAGATTTAGCAACTGATTCACGATATGAACCACCAAGTATCCCAAATTTGCCAAATAATTGCATCCTCAATAAGAAATCAGACCCCACATATAGAAAGAGATAGAATAAGAGGAGGGAAATGCTTTGGTCCCTAATCAGAGAGATTGTAGAAAGGACACAGAAAAGAGGAAGAAATTGGAAATTCTTTTGTACCCTTAGAGATTGTAGAAAGGAGATAGGAAAGAGGAAGAATTGAGAAATTCTTTTGTTGCCTTAGATATTGGAGAAAAGAGATAGAAAAGAACGAGAAATGGGAACCATGTAAGTATTGATTGATTGAAGATTTTCTTGTTCTCCAAAGAAGTGGGATTTAAGAGTTAAGAATAAGGGTACTGAGATTTTGGAAGTAGTAGAAAATTGACAAAGCAAATAACAAATGAACCATCAATATTTGGTCCATGGTGATGTATTCAAGAACAAGAAGGTGATTTTGTAGCAAGGAATTCAATATTTGATTTGGGAGTAGCTACAATAACTATCAAAGGTGGATAGAAAGCTTGAAGTCAGCGAGTCGAATCAATCTGAGCAGCTACAATTTGAGTAGTAATCTTACAAAAAACAATAACAAATCCCAATCGAAAAGCCTAATTTGGAAAAGCCCTAATGTGAGCAACAATCCACCAAGAACATTGAATGCCACAAGAACAATAAAAAATCTCAATCGATGGGTATTTGAATTCGCAAATTAATGGAGAATTACACGAAGCATATATGACTTTGTAAATCCCCAATTCGAAGGCTTGAAATCAACAATCTCATATAAAAGCCCCAAAATTGACTAGCAATTGATCAAGAACATTGGAAATTCCCAAAGCAGCGACAAAACCATATTGAGACGTACTCAAATCAAATATGAGACTGAAAATCCCCAATAGCAAGCTAAATAGAAACCCATACCTTGATTCAGTTCAACGAAATTGAGAATCCAAAATGATGTGGAAGAAGCAGATATTGACGTCGATTTCCATGGAGTTCCAGAAAAGAATGTCAAGGCATAGACAGCGGAAGCAGAAGAACTCAGGATCGATCCATGGCTCTTGATACCATGTTAACAGAGCTTAAGAAAATAGAATAAAGGAGAATTTGATAAATGATTGTATTGTATTATTATTAGCTTTTTTAGATTGTTCATTTCTGTACCCCTATTCTTAGTGGTTCATACCGTGAATCAGTTGGTAAATCCCATAGGCACACATTTAATCATTTGTGGTCAACATGTGTAACATCCCGACCCAATGTGGGATGTTTGACCCTTGGTTGACCATGAGTTGACCAAATGTGGGAAGTTTGACCCTTGGTTGACCGTGAGTCTTCCGAGGTAGTTTTACCCTTCGTGAAGTGCTAGCACGACCGTGTGAATGAGTCTTGACCGTTATTTGAGTTATTTTGAGTATATTAGGAGTATGAGCTTGTTTATAATATCTTATGGAATTCTTGGATATTATTTGATAATTGAAATTATGAAATGGATGGGTATGGGATACTCAATTTGTTGGGTTGTGAAAGTGAGTCTTGGGACTCGGTTGTGATTATTAGGAAGTGAGTGGACTTTGTTTTCAAGTAATAAGCATGGTTATTTGATGGAAAATTTATGCATATTGTTTTAATGATTTATTGAAATATATTATATATTTCATTATTGGATTTTATAAGTTGTGAAGTATTTGGTATATATATATTTGGGTTTTGGACATATTCAAGTATCTTGAATTATATATATAAGATTTGGGAAAGTATTATCTTTGTTGACTATGTGTGGGGTACTTGGGATGTTGATGTGAGACTAGATTGTTAGCGAGTGCTATTAGCACTACCTTAGGTACCACCCCGGTTACGGATTATATGCGTTAGAGTTTATTTGTCTACTATGAACAGGTATTGTAGGAAAATTGAATTGAGGAAGGGAGTATTATTTATATAATATTTATATAAGGGATTACGAACTCCACCATCATTTGTACCTCCCCTTGGATGATGACACTTGGAAACAGTGGAAATGGGTACTTGGAAACAGTGGATATGGACACTGGGATACATGGAAATTGTGGATATGGTTTGGATATGACGGAACCTGGGGCATCCTTGACGGGATGTTGCTGTAGACCCTTGATTGGGTAGTCTGCGCACGGGTCTTGATTAATTCTTCTTCCGTACGTGTTGGTTGAGTTAGTCCCCCAGTTGGACAGCTCGTCCCTAGCCACATGGCCATTTGAGGGCGGATACTTGTGAGCTAGTCAACAATCCCCGGTTGTATTGTTTTCCCCAGTACATGATGTGCATCATCATATGTATCTCCTCTTGGATACTGATACATGGGCACAGTGGATATGGTTTGGATATGACGGAACCCGGGGCATCCTTGACGGGATGTTGCTGTAGACCCTTGACTAGGTAGTCTGCGCGCGTAGGGCTATTTCAGGCGTACGGGTCTTGATTCTTCGTCCGTACGTGCTGGTTGAGTTGGTCCCCAGTTGGACGGCTCGTCCCTAGCCGCATGGCCATTTGAGGGCGGATACTTGTGAGCTAGTAAACAATCCCCTGTTAGATTGTTTTCCCCTGGTACATGATGATGGTGAGAGGTGAGTGTTATTATACGTGGATTTGATTTTGGATTGAGATTCGTGAGTTTGTGCTTTGTGAGTACCATGTACCTGTATGAATGTTTAAGCCCTGGATTGGGAAGTGTTGTTGGGCAACATACGCCTTGGATAGGGTATGGTTGCAGGATTGAATTGATATAAAGGGAAGAAACTGATAATGTGTTCAATGTACATACGCCTTGGATAGGGTATGGTTGCGGGATTGAATTGATATAAAAGTAAGTCATTGAGAATGTGTTCATTGTGTTTTGTCGGAATTAGAGTTGTGATAAATCTGAAATGTATCGTTGGTTCTGCTTTAAATATTTGTTTATGATCAGAGTTGTGACCATTGATGATAAGAACTACGTGTGGCTTGATCCCTTGTCCAAGGGTACGTAGGTAGCCTGGGGTCTCACCTAGGTGCAACCGCGAATTATATTATGTTTAAAAGATTTGATCGATTTTGTGTATGTGATTGGATTCTGATGTGGTTTTTGGATTTGAATCATGTTTGATGTTTTCGGTGGTATTCGTAAAGTTGTTTGAGATCTTCAATTGCATTGTTTATGTAGGTTTCGACTTAAGAACTTTGTTGGTTTTGTTTCGAACCATTTGAAGGCCAAAGGCCTATTTTGTATTTGCATGTTGATAACTTGTGCATGCTGCCAATTGGGTTTTAAACTGTGTTTTGTTTTCAGGTTGAAATTTTGGGGAAAGTCAAATTTTTAGGGGAGACTCTGCAGAAATTTCGGCAGAAAGTCTCGGTTTTTAGTAAGTGGGCCCGGCATCGGTGTGATGTCGGAATTTCCATAGGATTCGTCTCGAGTTTAGAGGAATTCGAGGCAGGTCCTGTCAATACGGTTGCAAAATTTGTGGACTGGAAGAATTGATGGAGCAGTATTATGCCTTTGATATTACCTGTTACTCAGTTGCCGAAGTTTGATGGGGTGTCTCTCAATGGTTTACCTTCAGAATACAACACTTTTAGGTGTGTTATGCGATGTCAAGAAAGTATGCGACAACAGAAAAACATATGTAACATGCGTGCTATAGAAAATAAAATGTATGTAACATATCAACTTAATGAAAAAAAACACATGTAGCATGAAACACATGCTGAGGGAACTGATAATTAACAATGATGAATAAAATCACCTATACACACCATGTGAGCCAACTCAATGGACCCAAAACTTAAAACAAAAAACAAAAAAAGCAAAAAAAAACAGAGAAATATCTAGTTAAATTAGTTGACTGTGGATGCCATGAATAAGATTTTCATGATTGCAAACAAAGCCTAAATTGTTTAATTAGCTTAGAAGCAAACAATAGTAGCATTGAAAGTTTTCAAATCATCCATTTTCCAAATTCAGAACTAGAAGACTGCATATCCCAATTTACATGTAAAAAAAAATGGTGCAACCGGCACTTGCCTAGAAATTTGGAACATATATCATTGTGTTGTAAAATGGATTAAATATGTGCGGGAATATTGAGTTGAACGTGAAGTAAATGAGGCACAATATTTAATGAGGTCTGGCCATGCCTACATCCTCGGAGAGCAATAGCAGTAACTTTTCCACTATGTAATATAATAAGGCTACAACTTTAGTGTTTATAATATATGTGGCTCATTGATTTTTTTTTTCTCTTGGAGAATTTCTCTCTACTCTCTTTTTCCTCTCCTCTCACTCTCCCTTTCTTTCTTTCCTCTCTGTCTAACTCTCTTTCTTCTCCCAGTTGAGTTTGTATGCAAAGGCAGAATAATGCATTATTTATAGGCTAAGGAAATGATGCCCGTGAGTGTGCAAGTGATAAGCCTCCAAGATGTGGCTGACAAGGAATCCAACATGTGGGCTCCACCCACTATCTTTACAACACTCCCCCTTGGAGACCACAAGTAACTAACAGGCCGTTTCATTAAAATTTTGTGGGGAGAAAACCTAGTGAGATAGAGAGTTGATGGAGGGAAGAAGAGTACATCAATTAGTGTAGAATACTTATGCATGCTCCCCATGATGAATATCTCTCCCTGAAATCTTCATGACTAACTTTCTGGAGGGAAAATCTTTCGAAGTGAGTGGAGGATGTAGCCATCAAAAATTACTTAGTTGAGTAAGTAAATGTATTTCTAGTGAGCTATCTCTATGTAGATTATAGAAATTTCGAGAGTCCGCGTATCCAACAAAACTTGGGCTATTTGTAAGTTCACTTGAAAAGAATATGCCCATATATGATGTTATGCGGAGATAGCATCAAATATGCCTCACATCATCCCAAAGTAGTGGTGATGGAGTTGAGTCATATCTGGAAAATACAATGTTTAGTCCAGTATACTTACGGAAAATCATTTAAGTGCCCAACGGATAATCTACATAAAAATTCTGCAATACTTTCTTAGTAAAAGTAAGAATCTCATTGGCATAATGCTCGATCTTCAAGCCAAGACAAATATTTCTTGAACTCATCAGGAGTTTCAACCAAGTATTAATTCTTTAGGAGTTCTGATCAATTATCAACATTTTAGGAGTTGTAATGTGTTGCAACCATATCATAATTAATGTACTCACTGAGGCAATTTATACATATTAGTATTGAGTACAGATTTTGTGCTTCAGGCACATATCCTTCAGGGACTTGCTTCATGCAATTATCCTTTCAGGGATTAAACTTTATGACACATTATATAGCTTTATATCCATCTATTTATTCTGCTTGTACATCTTTAAGAATTGCTTCTGGCGATATGCTCCGTGCATTTAATAACCCTTAAAGATAACATGTTTGTTTGTACCATATCTGACCCTCTACTCATCCAACGACACGTGGATTAGGCGATCTCACACAAGGCCTCGTACAATCAGCATCCGGTACCGATGGCATTGTCTCAAAGCCACAAATGATCACTAGTCTCAACATTGCTTGGAATCGGCACAAGCTGCCGATTCTACAGAATCAACCTCGAAGTACCCGCCCGAAATATCTAGAGACTCGTGTCAACCTCATAGGGCCCTCCCACGAGTCCCACATCGAAAGTGAGTACTAAGAGCACACAAAATGCCCCTTATAAATAGGCCCATTCACCACAGTACAGGGGTAAGACTTTTCAGCTTGACTTTTATACTTTTATATGGTCAACAGCAAGAGCTCTTAGAAATAAACTTACTTTACCATCGGAGGGTCTTAGGCTGGTTTCACACCGGTTCCATAGACCTCACGAGCCTCTACTTTCTTCTATTCAGGATTTGCATCCAAGGACAAGGAGAATCTGCATCTATCACTCAATCGATCTGCTAGATCGTCCTCACCACTTGTAAGTTGCACTCATCTCTATCTGTTCAGATTTAGCGCCAACAATGTTGGTCTCCGTAAATGTGCAATAAAAAGGCACGATTGTATTTGTAAATATGGAGAAACCCAACATTCCTTGTTTCTACCAGAAACATTGTGTCATATAAAGTGAGTATATTCCTTTTTATTCCGAACACCCATG